TGGGCGCAGGCGGGAGAGGCCAGGAGGCCGCGTACAGCGTGCGGAACTCGAGGCTGAAGGCATCAGCGATTTCTCCGGTCAGCAGGGTCAGCAGGCCGCGGTGCAGGCGAGAGTCACTCCACGTGAAGCTGGGGGCATGGCTGGGGTCAGATCTCCGCAGCCCGGCTCCCTGCCCAGTGCCAGCCTCATGGCGAGCCAACCTCTCGGGCTTAGCTTTGCTCTCAGCAGAATGGGACAGCAGAGGTCCCCACCCTGGGCTGGGGGCCAACATGGGCTAAGATATTTCTACCACCATCTGAAGCCAGGCTGGACAGGATTCTGTGGGTCTTTTTGTGACAGAGTTTTCCTTTGTATTCCAAGCTGGCCTTGAACTGCTACGTAGCCCAGGCTGCCCTGGAACTTACAGTGATCCTCCTGCCTCAGCCTCCCGAGTGCTGGGATCACAAAGATGGGTCACTCCACACCAGTTCCCACAGTACTGTTTTAAAACTGTGCTGCTACCTAGAAAGACTCCACCTGTCAAGCATTTGTTAGATGCTGAGCTCCACGTGCTCCTGCTGTGCCTCAGTTGGCCCACCTGTAACGTGGAGCTGAAACACAGTCAGGTGCAAAGGTGGGGACAGAGGTCGGGCTCCCTGCCTGTTCTGTCCCTGCAGTGGCTGGTACCTAAGCCTCTGGGGCAGAGCTGGGTGTCCGCTCACTCCTGGCCTCTCCGCAGGGCTCTAAGCCCAAGCAGGGGGTCCAGATGTGCCACGCTCCCCCGTCCTGGGCATCAGGTGACTTAGGTGGAAAAAGGGGTTGCCATGGGACACGGGACCCTCGGCAGGGTGACAGTCCCCACTGGGCCACCCCGGGATGGTAACACCGCCCCCACCTGTGAGCTCAGTGGAACCCGAGGGGTCTGTGAGGTCACACATTCCACCCCCAGAGATGCTGCACCCATGACAGGGACACAGAGCTTCGGAGGCTGAGGACACTCCAGGTGCTGTCGCGGAGACCAGGACAGGGCGGAGGGTCCCAGCGGGGGGAGCCGGACCCCGCACACCCAATGGTTCCACAACCCCATGGAGCCCGGCCGCCATGGTCCTTGGCTGGCTGCGGCGGCTGCTGCTGCTGCTGCTGGTGACAGCGCTGCCGCGGGGTGCGACAGGCATCAAGGACTGTTTCTTGTGCGAGCTGACCGACTCCACGCTCTGCCCCGGCACCCGCGTGCACTGCGGGGACGAGGAGGCCTGCTTCACGGGCCGCGGGGTGGCCCAGGGCGTGTGGCCCGTCACCAATAAAGGCTGCGTGGGGGCCACCAGCTGCGGCCGCGAAGAGCCCGTAAGCTACATGGGCCTCACCTACACCCTCACCACCACCTGCTGCTCCAGCCACCTGTGCAACCACGGCCCAAGCCCCCGGGGCCGCCCCGTGGAGACCGCGGCCATCAGCCTAGTGCCAGGCCTGCTGCTGCTCCCACACCTGTTGTGATCCGGGGCTGGGACCGCCGCCCCCGGCCGCCGCGCCACTCCCCACCTGACCCCTCTCCCCCGTTAAATGGCCAGACGCCCGGACAACCTCTTGTGGCCTCGGCTTCGTCTGTTCGAGGGCTGAGCGTCAGGAGCTGGGAGCTCAGTGAGGTGCTGTGGTGTATTTTTTTTTTCCTTTGTTTTTGGAGATAGGGTCTCGCTTTGTGGTTCAGACTGGCCTTGAACTCACTGTGTAGCCCAGGCTGCCATGGAAAGTGCAGCAATTCTCCCGCCTCGGCCTCGCCAGTGCTGGGATTACAGGTGTGCGCCATCTCTGCCGACTGTATTACTGCGGGCTCTAAGAGGTGTATTTTTTTCACCCTGGGGTCAAGATGCTTCTTTCCACCTGGCAGCCCTTCAGAGCTGACGAAATCTGCTATTAGTGAGCACCGCTAATGGGAGGTGCCAGGTACCACGCTCCCTTCGAGGCCCCCTCGAGGTCAGGAAGGTGGATAACCCTCCACTCCAAGGCACGCCAGCTTAGCTAGCAGAGGGTTTGGCTTTGGTTTTGGTTTTTGTTTCTTTGCAGGTACTGGCACTGAACCAAGGGCCTTTGCACTGAGCTACATCTCCAGCCCTTTCTACTTTTGAGTCAGGGTCTTGTTAAATCGCTGAGTTGCCCAAGCTGGGCTCCAATTTGTAATCCTCCTGCCTCGGCTTCCCAGATCATTGGGGATTACAGGCGTGGGCCACCACGCCAGGGAGCCAGCAGTTCTCCGAGTGGGTCCCTGGGCCAGCAGCATGCACATCCACTGGGAACTTGTCAGAAATGCATGACCTCGGGCCCCCTCCCAAGCCAGGTGAAGAAAAGGGACAGAAAATGAAGCTGTAGGAACAAGAATCCCTCTGGGAGATTCCTTAGAACCACTCAGGCTGACAGCAGCTGCCCTAGAGCCACGGGTCTCAGTGGGGGTGCTTCTGGGCCCCAAGGGCATCCACGTGGTTTTTGGTTCTCAGCAAGGCCCCCAACAGTCAATACGAACTCGAGTGGCACCTCTGTTAGAAATCTTGTTCTGCCATGGATTTGGTTCAGAGGTTCCACTGCCTGCCTCCCAAGCGCAAGGTCCTGAGTTCAATTCCCCGTACCAAAAAAAGAAATCTTGTTCTATGAGCCACCAATTTATCTCAGTGATGCCGCTGCCTGCCTAGCACAAGGACCCGAGTTCAATCCCCAATACCAATAAAAAGAAAGAAAAAAAATCTTGTTCTAGAGGCGTGGCCCGAATCTCCCTCTTCTGTAGGGGTGTAAATTGAGGCCCAGAGAGGTGAAGTAAATCAGCAGCAGTCACACAGCCTGCAGCTAGAGTTTGAATCCAGGCCACCTGGCCACGGAGTCCATGCTCCAGTTTTCCAGATTAGGAATGCCGGCACCAGTGAGAGAAAGGTCACCGAGGCTGGCCACCTGGCACGCAGGCAGCCCTCACTCCTACCTTCAGCCCACCCTGCCTCAGGACGCCTGCGCGTCTGGCAGTGGCGGACGGAGAGGCCCAGAAGGGGGCGCTGCCTGTGCTCTGAGCGCAGCGCCGCGAGGAGGGTCAGGCTGCTGGGGTGGGGACCGTACCTGTAGGACCCTGAGATGACCCTGTCTCCATCCAGCAGCACAAACTTCTCCCGCACGCCGCCGCTCACCTGCCGTCGCCAGCGACTCCGGAAAGTGCAGCCCCGCACGACGCGGATGTCCAGGTTCTAGGGGGGCGGCGGGGAGGGAGGGTCAGGAGTCCCAGGATTACCCCGACTCAGCGGCCCAGGACGCCACAGGGGCGCTCACCCTGTGCCCCCAGTGGGGTGGGCCCTGGGGATCCCAGAGGAGGACCAGGACCCTGCAGGAGGGTCCTCTGCTGCCTCTAGGGCGCCAGAGAGGTGGGTACGCCCTCTGTCCCGCCCCTACCTCAGTGGCCCAGGGGTTCACCCGCAGCTGCCCGGCCAGCGCCAGGAAAGCAGGCAGCCGCTGGCGGTCCAGGAGTAGGTACACGGGGACCCAGCGGCGCGTGGCTGCATCCACCAGGTCCAAAAGAAGGTCTGGGTCAGTGAACACGTCCATGACCACGGCCACCAGCTGCAGGGTGGAAAGGCGGGGTAAACGTGTGGATGAAGCTCCAGGGCTCCAGGGACACGCATCAGGGCTCTGGGGGCTGGGGACTGAGGGCCTGGCCTGTATGGGAGGTCAGGGGAGCCCAAGGGGACCTCAGGATGTTCAGTGCAAAATGGCAGCTTTTCTAAGGCCCTTAGCCCTGAACTGCTGGAAAACTGCCATAAGAAATCATATCCTGGGCCAGGGATTTAGCTCAGTGGTTCCACCACCTGCCTTGCAAGTGCAAGGATCACTCCCAACACTTGGGAGGCTGAAACAGGAGGATTGCTGTGAGTTCAAGGCCAACCTGTGCTACATACATAGTGAGCTCAAGGCCAGCCTGAACTGCACAGTGAGACCCTGTCTCAAAAAAGAAAAAAGAAAATAATTCATATCCACATGGCAGGTATGCTAGTGCACACCTGCAATCCCAGTACTCTGGAGGCTGAGGCAGGAGGATCACTGAAAGTTTGAGGTTAGCCTGGGTTACATAGTGAGTTCAAGGCCAACCTAGACTACATAGTGAGACTGTGGAGAGAGAGAAAGAGAGAGAAAGTCATGTCTATAAAGGTATACAGTGTGTTCAGGAGGGAATGCACGTCCATCACAGCACTGATCCTGGTCAGTGGCTGGACGCCCTCAGAGGATCCTAGGTAACTACACCTCTGGGTCCTCACAAATGTCCTGGGTGTGGGGGGCAGTAGAGATGACCTTCTAGGTCAACCATGGTGTGGTTTAGGGACCCAGCTGTGCTGAGGGTCAGGACTACAACTGACTCATCAGCCAGGTTCAAATCCCCTTGGGCATGTGCACCCTGTGCCTCAGTTTCTCCATCTCCTCAGTGGGCACAAGGACAGTTCCACTTAATAGGGCTCCAGAGGGCCATGGGAAGGACTCCTCAAAGGGGCAGGTGACACTACTACCAAAAGCACAGGCCCTGGGGTCGGGGGTAGATGCCTGTGCCCTCCCTGGGGGAGCACAGAGCCCCCGATCTGGTGAGGACGGGACAGGGAGGTGCCTGAGACTCAGGGAGGGTCACGGCTTGGTTCAAGAGGCATGGATGCTGGAGCGGGGAGCGGTCCTGGGGCGCAGAGCTGAGGACATGCAGGTCCCTGGGACCAAGGGAGGCACCGCTGGGGCTGGCAGGTGAGGACTCAGGCCCGAGGGAAGGACCCAGGACCCATGACACCCACCTTGCGGGCAGCCTGGATTTCTCGGCGCACCAGCTCCTTGAGGGGTGGATGGCCCTCGCCGGGGGGCTGGGTGTACAGCTGTGCCCGGGTGATGCCCTTCCAGGTGGTACCCTCTGGCCAGCCTAGCCGCAGCAGGGGCACTGGCTCCTCCGACTGCCCAGGCCAGTAGGTCAGGCTGCTCTTGGCTGGGTCGGCGGTGGTGGCGGCAGCCCCTTCTGCAGCCCCGCCAGGTTCCTGCCCAGCTTCTGTCCAGTCCTCGGCAGCTGCTGCCAGGGTTTGGACCTCATCCTCACTCAAGAAGGGCCGCAGCCCCTCCTGCTGTACGCAGGCCTGGAAGGCGTTCCTGCCCTCACTCAGCAGTGCCTCGATCGCCAGCCGCTGGCCCTCAGAGTACAGGAAGGCGGGGCTGGCCTCCGTCAGTGGCAGTGGCCCGGGCCCTGCCTCCGCCTCGTCCAGCGCCGCCAGCTGGGAGGCCGCCATCCTGCTCTGCTGCGATGGGCCGGATCACCCAGGGCCTGGCTGTCCCTGGAGGACCATCGGGGGCCTCCCGGGCAGCTCTGAAGAGGTCCCCACGGTCCCTGTGGCTGTTCCTGGCCCACAAGGACTCCCAAATGGTTCCCAAATGACTGTCCACTGTGCCAGGCTGCCCACAGCAACACCTAGTGAACCCCGCTGCCTGAAGGTCAGGCTGGGCACCCGATACCGCCCCCAACTGTGACCCCTCAGCCAGTCGTTCCCGCTCACGACAGCCCACTGGCCACAAAATGGCACAACGGAGCTTTCAGCTGTTCCTGAATGTCTCGCTGGCCACCCTATTGTCCCCGATGGTACAGGGGCTGCCAGTCTCAGTCTCGGACCCTCAGCCGCCTCTTCCACTGCCTTGCTTCCCAACAGCCCCAGTGCACCTGCTTGGGGGAGCCCCAGCTCACTGGGCCACTCACCCCCCACCCATGGGTGACCCTGACAGCCCACTCAGGCCAAGGCTGGCACCTGCAGGCTGCCCTGGCCAGGTCGAGCCCACCTGGGCTTCTGCCTGGACCCCTCCTCCCTGGCCCAGGACTACTCTGTATCGTCCCGTGCCCCCGCAAGCCCCAGATCCCAGTGACTCAGGCACCAGCCTTCCCCCAGGCCACAGCAATGGCCCCACAGAGAAGGGAGCGGAACAGAGCCAGGCCTCCCTCCTACCCCAACAGCACGGGCCTGTGCTGGCATCTCAGGCCTCTACCCTCCTCCTCCCATCTCTCGCCTTCTCCAAGGTTGGAGGAACCTGGGCTGGAGTCCTACTCTTCACCTCTGCCTCTCTTCCGCGATCCGCCTCATTCATCAGGCCAACCTGGGGCCCAGGGAACCCACCCCTACTGTAAACAAGGGGAGGGCCGTGCAGGCACCACTGCCAGGACCTGATCAGGGACTGGCCACCTGCCCAGCTTCCTCACCCATTTCCATGCCCGCCCACCGCTGCTCCGCCCCTGGGTGTCCAGGTAGAGGATGAAGGTACAAGGAAGCAAGTGTGGGAACACCTGACACCCAGGAAGGAGGCGGACAGCGGGCTCAAGGGGGCGGGGGGGCCAACAGGTGCAGTGAGAGGATACTGCGCATGCGCAAACCCAAGGCCAGGCCAAGAAGGCGACAGCCGTGTCCCTCCCCGCAGGCGCCAACCTCCCTCACGTACCACCCCAATCTGTTCCCCAACAACACACTGGGGGCACCAATGGCATCCAAAATCTTTTATTGACAGAATAAGATGCAGCATTAGTTCTTGTAGCCTCGGCTGGCCCGTCTGCCTCTGGCCCGCTCGAACTTCCGGCCCTTGGAGCGGACGTAGGGTCTGTGGGCAGAAGAGGGTGAGAGGCCCGCCTTATAGCAGCGATCGGACCCAGGGGCCCTCCTCACTGTGCTGGGGCCACACCCACCCCACCCAGGGAACCCTGCCAGGCCCTGGTACTCACTTGGTGTGGCTGTGGGGGGTTCCCGGGGCCTTGCCGAAATGCCGGTACACCTCTCGGCCCTTGCGTGGACCTGGGGATGGGAAGAGGGGATCAAGCAGGAACCCACACCCCAACCTCTTGTGGGGAGCCCCCTTCAACACTCACCCCTCCTCCCCGGAGCTCCCAAACGCCACTTACCAGAGAGCAGAACGGTGCCGTGGCCCTTGGGGGAGTCCAGGGCCAACTGGTCAAAGGTGAGGATCTTACCACCGGCCTTGAGGATACGGCTGCGTGCCCGGCTGCTCACACGCAGGGCACAAACCTGGAGCACACAGGGCAGGCAGGGCCACCACCCCCACCCTGGCTATCTGCATGGCCTGACAATCAACACCAATTCATCCCAGCCCCACCCCACCGGTTCCACGGCAGCTGCCTTCCAGGCCGTAGCCCTGTATCATTAGGTACAAAAGCCATGACTTTTTTGGTTTCTTAAGGTGCCTCATATGCAGTCCAGGGTGGCCTGGAACTCACTATGTAACCCCAGCTGGCCCAAACTCATGGCAATCCTCCCACCTCAGCCTCTGCACACTGGAATCACAAGTGTGCATCACCATGCCCTGCTGAGTCTTTGACTAAATGGCAAAAGAAACCCACATCTGAGCTCAGGCTGTCTGGCTCAAGAGCCAACATTTTCAACAGGATCCAGAAGAAGCCTCCCAAGGACCCCCCCAAACATATGAAAGAGGACCCCACGCAACCCTAAAGGCCACGTGGACAAGCAAGATGCCTGCCATACCCTGAAGAATAGGCAGGGACTTAAAGCCATCACAGCAGGCAAGGCTCCAAATCGGGGAACACCGCTGCGAGCCCCACCCCACTCACCTTCAGCTTGGGCACCTCCAGAACCCGCACATCGTCCGTTACGGTCCCCACAACCACAGCTGTCTTATTTTCCCGGCCAGGAAGCTTCATCTTCCGGATCTTGGAAAGATGTACACAGTGAGTCTCTCTAGCATTTAAATCCCTCCGCCCTCCACCCCTGGCTTCAGGCATCCAGAGGTCTGGGAAAGTTGTGGATTAGCCCACCCACACTACAATGGGCCTCTTGAAGGTCTACTTCAGGGAATCCTCAGTAAGAATATTCAACAACTCTCTCCTGAAAGACTTTTTGTTTTTACCACTGAGTGACCTCACTAAGGACTGGGCTCTAAAACGAGGTCTTCCTGCCTCAGCCTCCCAGAGTGCTGTGATTACAGGCAACCATACCTGGCCTTGGCAGTTCTCTTGGCTCGTAAGCCTCCTTTGTCACTTGAAACTCATCACAACTACCTCCACTTCACAGTGAGCCAGAAAGAAGACCAAGAAGCCAAGCCAACTGTCCACAGAAACTTGACTCCAAGTAAGGCTCAGAGCTTGGCACCTACTGCTGGCTGACAACCTAGGGACGCCCAGGTTGCCATGGCACAGCTCCAGGTCCCCAGGTCAGCCACTCACCATCCGAGAAAGGGACAGAGGTGGCCGGTTGGTGCGACTCATGAACAACCTTTTCAGCACAACCTGGTTGAAAGTGGAGTTTGTTCGTCTGGCCAGAAACCTGTACAGCTGAGAGAGAGAAGAGGAAGACTGAGGACACAGGACAGGGGCAAACAAATGCTTTAGGCTAGAAGGTTCTGATGGCTTTTCCCGTTCCACGGAGCCTGGGGACCCAGGAAACCCCCTCCCAACTCCCAACATGCTTACAACCAGCAGCTGAAAACACAGAAGCTCAGGGATCCCGGTACCGAGAGCAGAAGGAACACCCGGGTGGCTTTGCCCCAAGATCTCAGGTCCCAACCTCACCTTGACCAACAGCCTCAGGTAGATGTCCTGGCTCTTGGGTTCTTTGCGCCGGACCTTTCGGTCTTTGTTGTGGCGGATGTCAACTCCCTGTAGGGGTGGAGGAGAAAACATGGTTCCAACTCTGAAACTGGGCAATCATGCCACGGATGTTCCCTGTGATTACTTATCTCCCAGACAGACTGGAGCCCCTGGCCACACGGCTCACGCCCCAGGCCCACCACCAAGCCCTCTTCAAAGGCAGCTAACACAAACTACAAAGCCACCAGCACCTGAAACATCTTAGTCGGGTAGACACGTTAATCTCAAAGTTTTTAACAAGTTGTATCTTCAAAAGAACATTGGCCTTACGTATGTTCCCCAAACTGGCCCTCACACCAAAAGGACAACCAGAAATAACGTAATAGTAGACCCTCGGTTAACAATGACGATTAACTGGCAGGGGTGTGGGGAAAACTGAGAACCAAGATCTGTCATGAAAGGGTACAAGATCCCAATGACGAATGTAACTGTACTGTATACCTCAAAAGTACCAATAAACTCAGAAAGATTTTTTAAAAATTATAGAGACAAATCCTCATCACAAAGCATATATTTGTTGGGTAGAAAATGCTACGATGTGTGAGTACAATTGGAAATAATTAAATAAGTCTAATTAACTTTAAAAAATAACAACTTTTATTTGAGATAATATATCGAGAGTCTCGCCTGCAGTATCCTCCTCAAACACCATGGAGGAGTCTGGGTAGTTGTCCCCACTTGAAACTAGGAACAGTAAGGAAAGCCCACCGTTTACACCACACTTCCTCCCTGCTCTTCGGAGTAACCAGTTTCTCATATTATTATTAACTCTACGTATTAACAGCTCTCCTTTATGTAACACTTAAGTCCTTCTGGTGAGAAGCGCCTATGATTTCTTTCCAACTCATAAACCTTTCAGATGGGACTAGTCTGTCCCTAAAGAAAAGGTAAAGGAACTGTGGCCCAGGCCCAGGAGGCGACTTCACGAGGTGGGCAGAGGTTGAAACTGAACGGAGGCCTGCTTGGGTCCAACACCTGAGTGAGTACCTGACTCTCCACTCCGCTCCCGATTCAACTTTCCAAACTAGGGTGTGACAGTAAGGCAACTGGTTCAAGGTGGCTACACCTCCAGCCACACAGGGCCGGACCCCAGCTCTGCCACTTCTTGGCTTTTCCTTTGCTCAATGGAGACAACAGGAATACGTGACTGGGACTCATGCCCAGTCTCTACCAGGCCCCCAGAGTAGCATCCTCGTCTCGGAAATCGCTTCCTTCAGACACTGGCGAAACCCCTGCACCCCTCCGGCACACCCCCAGCCCGAGACCGCCAAGGATGACGGTGGATGATCAAGCCTTGACTACCCCAAGGCACGCTCACCATGATGGCGACTCCTGTATAGTCGAGCCCGGAAAGAGACAGCTGGGCCGGGGTGGGCGGGGAAAGCCTCCGGCGCGCGACGCCCTAATGACGTCTTAAGAGCGCAACGCGACGCTCTACCACGATCCGGCCTTCTCTATGGTGAGTTAGAAGGCCGGCTCCAGGGGGACAACAAAATAGGGCGGAGGAATAAACGAAGAGAAACAAGCGCCATGTGCAGAAAGGAGGGGGCAGCACGTCGGGGAGCCTTTCTAGCCCTGTCCGGGCGCTGTTCTTTATATTCTTCCAGGAAAAAAGGAAGCTGGGAGCAAGAGAGATGCGTGGAGCTAGGAAGAGGCATTGCGCGGTGACACTCTGGCCTGACGCTGAGGGCCTCTCGGTGACTTCGGAAGACTTGGCGGGCCGGGTTGTGGCGGTGAGGAGGCGGGGCTGGCGGCTCTAGTCCTCCCCAAGCTGCTCGCGTTTGCTTGGATTAACGGTGTGCCTTCTTTCGCTCTGAACTCCCAGGCACAGCCGATGCTCAGAAGTTCTGCTAGCTATCCAACCCGAGATCACTTTGCTGCAGCACCCTGTATATCTGTCTTTTTGGTTCAGCTTCCACCCTTCCCTGACCACCTGCTCAGTCTCTCCCGCCAGGGAGCGGCTGCTTTTTTCTCCAACAGAAAGGTTCAACTGGCCCAGCGGTTTCGATGTGAGGGAGGTACAAGGTACCGGGGTCCAAGGATCGCGCCCTGAAGTCCGGGCATGAGGGGTGGGATGGGTAGGGAAGGTAGGTGACATGCTCCTGAGAGACACCCAGAGAGAGAAATTCAGAGGTGAGGAAGAATGAGACTCCGGGGTGGGAGTGGGGGTGTAGGGATGAGAGGAAAAGATAAGGGGATGGAGGCCCCGAGAGAGATAGAGACATAGAAAAATGGTCAGGTGGGATCTGGCTAGGCTGTACCCAAATTCAAATCCTGGCTCTGCTACTTATTAGTGGTGTGACCTTGGGCAAGTCACTCTCTGTGCTGTACTTTTCCATATTTAGAGAAAGGGAATGATAATAGATCTTACACATGGGATGTTTTCCAGAATTATATAGGTTAAGAAAAATTCCTTTGAGTCAATGTTTTTGCAAGTAAGTATTCAATAGTAATTTGCCTTACCGTACTTTTTGACGGAACCAGATTGACTGGTTGAGGCAGTAATCCAACGGTTTTATTCCTCTCTCCTCTACAGAGCCTAAGCCAGGATTGCACAGTGAGACCTGACTCTGTGCACAGTCCAGAGCACCGTCCTATGGCCGCAGACCCAGGGCCAAGGTCTGTTGATGTAACAGGACAGAAGGCCAGTGATGAACCGACCCCTTGAATCAGAGGAGCAGCCGAACCAGGTAAAAATCCCTATTCTGTGGGACTGCACCAGCTGACACCCTCCATCAGTAGTCTTGGACCTCCTCTCCTCTTGGAGTGAATAGCTTTCTCCCCATTTTCCAGACGGGCAGGTGTGGCCAGGAATTCAGGGGCTCCCTAGGGTCACACAGCAAATCCATGTGAGCTGGAGGTCCCCTTCCCCTCTTCTTGCTCCACGTGTTTCACTTCCGTGTTCCCTTTTCTCTCACTTGATGACTCAGGGAAATCTCATCTTCTTTGGTCAGGGCTCTTTTGTTCCAGGGCTCTAGGCTCAGTTGCTCTGTGTCTTTGTCTCAGACTTCCTGGGACTCTATCACTTACCCTGTCTGCATGAGCTGCTTCTGTGGGATGGATGCATGATATATTTGTTTGGCAGTAAGTGAGCTGTTTCCTCCTCATGTTTTGTGTGCGCGCGCGTGTGTGGTACTAGGGATCGAACCCAGGTGCCCTCTACCACTGACTACATCCCCAGTTTTTTGTTTTTTTGGTTTTATATTTTGTTTTGTTTTGAGACAAGATGCCTTTAAATTGGCCTTGAACTTGTGATCCTCGTGCCTTAGCCTCCCAAGTGCAGTATCTAGGACCACAGGCATGTGCCACCACCCCTGCCTGTCCCTGCCTCGTTCTGCGTGTGTGTCTCTGCAGTTCTGCCTGACGTTAGATCTTTGCCCCATTTTTGCCTCGATGTATTAGTGGTGTCTCTTGTATCAACGTCTCCCCCTTTCATCTCTCTCACTTTCAGTTCCTCTCAGCTTCTGGGCTTTAAACATTCTTTCCCTTCCTCACCCCTGGCCCAGAGGGTTCTCCCTTTGTGTCTGTCCTGCTATGTGACTAGTCATTTCCTGGCCAGATGTTTATCTCATGCTGCCTACACTCTGGTTAGAATCCAGAGTAAATAGTGAATTAATGAACCTGTCTGGAATGTTCATTCCAGAAGTGCCTGTCGTGTTCTGTCACTGTCATTTTCTGTCAGTTTCTTGTGCACTTACCTTCCACTATATCAACCCCACTGTTTTTTGTGTCTCTGCTTATATCTCTGCTTTTTCTCTGGGCCTGGGTCTGTCCGACTGTAACTGTTGAAAGGTAGCCCCCTCCTCACTCCTGTTACCCTGCCCTAGCCCGCTAATTACCTATCTCTGACTCTGCTTCTCTGGGTCTCTGCCTTGCTTTTTGTCTAAGTCTATTACTAATCCCTTTGCACATCTCTGGGCCTCTGGTGGCTATGTTAGGGTCTCTGTTTCTGCAGCTAAAGGCCTCCTGCTCCACCCGCTTTTATTTTATAAACTCAAGGGATGGGCCAGGCTCACTGCCCTCAACGAAGAAGGCATCACCAACGATGTCTGCAGGGGTGTGACGCCACCTTGGCTATGCCGGTGCCCTCACTTACGATGGCGGCTGGCCTCCAGAAGCTCTGCACCGCCCAGTTCTGGCGCTCCCTCCGTAGCGTAGTGGGACCCTACGCGAACTCGCAAGTCGTCTGGCCCCGCCTCCGCACGCTCTCATTGGTGCGGCACAGGCCGGCCACACGGCCATTGGCTAAGCAGATGCACACCCTCCCCCCACCCCTAGGTCTAGTTGGGGCTGCCGTGAGGACTTGAGGGGCCGCCCGGAGGAGGACCTGGTGTGTGAGGAGGGTGTGAGGGTCCAGGCGGGGACCCCTGTGTGTGTGCGTGTGTGTGTGTGTGTGTGTGTATGGGGGACAGACACCCAGGCCTGAAATTGGGGTGCTGGGGTGGGAGGTGGAATTGGAAAATCAGGACCACAATTGAGGTATCCAGGAATGGAGGCCCAGGTGCGGAAGTGGAGTAGAGATGGAGGCCCAGGGACGGAGACATATGGTTTGGCAGTTTGTGAGTGGAAGGCCAGGCCCAAGGCTTAGGTTCCAGGGCACAGAGCCCCAGGCCCAGGAACGGAGGCTGTCTAGGGCTCTGTGCTTGAGCCTGATTTGAGGTTCTCATAGGGAGCCATTGCTGGTGTGCAGGTGGGGCAGATATCCTGGGCCTTGGGAGGCACCCAGGTCAGTAAAAGTGTTGGGCCGCAGAGGCAGTTCCAGGGCAGGGCGAGTCCACAGATGGGGGTGGGTCTGGGTGTGCTGTGGCCTGGGGCAAGTGAGAGGCAGGACTGGCTGGCTGGAGGCTGGGCGGACCCAGGGAGGACAAAGGTGAACTGGAAGAGGGGGTGGGTGGCAGCTGCGCAGAAGGGCCTGTGGGGAAGGGACCTCAGTCCCCTGGCTCCAGCTTTTCCCTAGAGAGCGGGCAGCAGACACCCAGGTCAGTACTCAGACATTCTCAGCCCTGACCCTTTTCAGCACTTGCACGTAGCTCCCCTCTGAGCCCTGGGTTTCTGTGTCACCCCTGCCTCCCGCCTCTCCTGTCTGCCCTCCTAAGCGTCTGCTGCCTTGAGGCTGGTTGTCTCCTCCCAGGACTTCTCTGGTCTCCTTTCTCTCCGAGCCTGTGTCCCAGCGGCACTACATTCTCCACCTGCAGATGACTCAGTGTGCACATGGGGTTGCTCTCCCATCTCTGCCTATTTTCGTTTTTGTCTCCATTCTCTGATTCTCTCCCACGCTTTATTTTTCCTCAGAGCCCTGTCATCACCCAACATATTAGCTAGTTTACTGTCTCATCTCATCTTCCTGCCTTCTGATTAGAATTAAACCCTGCTGAAGGCAAGGATTTTTGTCAGTTTTCTGCTGAGTTTGCTATAGGCACGATGACCAGCGCACAGTGCATCCTGAGTAACTGGAGAGAAATGAATGACTGTTTGCATGTCTACATCCCTCAGGATGCTGGCCTTCCTGTGCAGCCAGCCGCCTGTGTCCTCCAGGTCTCCCTTCCTGCCCGAGCCTGTGTCTCTGGTAGTCCCTTCCCCTCTGCCATTGCCTTGCTGGTCTGTCCACAGCCCCTCCCCCTCCTTCCATCTCCCAATCCCCCGTAAGGGCCCTGGACACTGACCCTCCCCTCTCCCTCTCCACAGAGACCGGAGTAGCAGGTGACCAGGAGTTGGGGCCACAGGCCTAGGAGAGCCCTGGACAGGGCTGAGGCCATGGCCCCCCCACCAGCACCACTGGCTGCCAGCACCCCGCTCCTGCATGGCGAATTTGGCTCCTACCCGGCCCGCGGCTCACGATTTGCCCTCACCCTCACATCCCAGGCCCTGCACATACAGCGGCTGCTCCCAAAGCCCACGGCCCGGCCCCGGGATGGCCTGGTCCCCCTGTCCGTGATCTCAGGCTGCTGCACCCTGCGAAGCCACAGCCCCGCAGACTCAGCGGCCTACTTATGCATCTATACCTACCTGAGGGGCCGCCGCGGGGGCCGCCGCAGAGCCGCCCGCACCTTTCAGGCCGATGGGGCTGCGACCTATGAGGAGAACCGTGCAGAGGCCCAGCGCTGGGTCGCTGCCCTCATGAGTCTGCTCCGAGGATTACCCCTGCCTGGGGAAGGGGGTGAGGCTGGCAGCCGCTCTGTCCTGGAGACAGACTCCCCCTGTGGGCATCTCTGTGGGTCTGTGTGCTGTCTCTGGGTCTCTAAGAGCAGGACACTGGCAGGGCTAGGCTACAAAAGGAACAAAAACACAGAGAGAAAGAAATTGTCAGCTGCTCTTGGCTAGAGGCTGTCTGTCCCTCCCTACCCCCACCCCATCTTGACCAGACTGATGAGTCAGAGGCTCCCTGGCACTGACAGCAGCAGATGAGGCAGGAACAGTCACCTCCCCGTGATAGGTGCCCACACAGATATCTGGGGTGCCCAGGGAGCCAGGAAATGGCATCTAATTCCTTGTGTGGAGCCTCCCCAGCCCCCAGGGTCCTCCAGGGCTTCCCCATCTGGTGAGCTTTCCTTAGGCCTCTGGGGTCCTGTTGGCTGCCTGGGGCTCCTCAAGGGTAGTGAGTGAGGAACTTGATCCTGGGTAGCAGGTGTTCCTTTGTCTTTATCCTGTATATGGGTCCAAAGGGCACTTGGTGTCACACCCCATTCCTGGCTTTGTCCCAGCATTCCCAGCTCCTACCCAGCTGCCATGGGGGCTGTTAGAAGGGACCATTTCCAGGCTGAGGGGCCTGGGTCTCCAGCCTCTGCAGACCCTGCCCTCTCTCTGCAGAGATCAGCCCTGAGCTCCTGCCACGGCCACCCCGGTTGCTACTCTTGGTCAATCCCTTTGGGGGACGGGGCCAGGCCTGGCAGTGGTGTGAGAACCATGTGCTGCCCATGATTTCTGAAGCTGGGCTGTCCTTCAACCTCATTCAGACAGGTAGGGGCAGGGCCATGGGAGGGGCCGTGGCCAGGGCTCCTGGGTCCGGGGAGAAGGGTGTGGCAGGGAAGGAAACAGCTGCCTAATCCGATGCTTTGCTCAATCAGAACGACATAATCACGCCCGAGAGCTGGTCCAGGGGCTGAGCCTGAGCGAGTGGGATGGCATCGTCACCCTGTCAGGAGACGGCCTGTTATGTGAGGTAGAACAGAGCTCCTGTCCTTAACCCCGAGCCCTAGGGGGCCAGAGAGGTGGGAGCTGAGCCCCGAGCAGCTGGTGTCCTGCCCTCCAGGTGCTGAACGGACTCCTAGATCGCCCAGACTGGGAGCAGGCAGTGAAGATGCCCCTGGGGATCCTCCCCTGTGGCTCGGGCAACGCGCTGGCTGGAGCTGTGAACAGGCATGGGGGGTAGGTTGGGTGCTCCTGCTGGGGAGGGCGAGGGTGGGGGCTGAGGCCTCCTGGGGCATTAGGGACCCCAGGTCTCCCCATCAGCCAAGCCTACTGTCAGTCCAGGAAATCAAATGGCTGCGGGCTGCTGCACCACCAGCTCTGGCACTGGCCAGTCTCATTCCCAGCACTGCCCCAGAGCTAGAACTGCCTGGCACGCAGATGCGCAGGATCTGGGTGCTGGGACACAGTGTCGCTGGTGTCGGTGCTGACTGCTCCCCTGCCACACACACTGCCCTGTGCTCTGAGTCTCACCCAGCCCTGTATGTTCTTTCCCACCACGGCCATCATCCATCGGGCCATGAAGGTTTGCACCAGCGCTGGGCCTGGACCTGCTGCTCAACTGCTCCCTGCTGCTCTGCCGGGGTGGCAGCCACCCACTGGACCTGCTCTCTGTGACGCTGGCCTCGGGCTCCCGCTGTTTCTCCTTCCTGTCTGTGGCCTGGGGCTTTGTGTCAGATGTGGACATCCAGAGTGAGCGCTTCCGGGCCCTAGGCAGAGCCCGATTCACTCTGGGCACAGTGCTGAGCCTCGCCACGTTGCATACCTACCGTGGGCGCCTCTCCTACCTCCCCGCCACTGTGGAGTCCGCCTCACCTGGTCCTGCCAATGGCCTGCCCCGGGCCAAGTCGGAGCTGGCCCTGGCCCCGGCCCCGGGCACAGACCACTCCCCTCTGCACCGCTCAGTGTCTGACTTGCCCCTGCCCTTGCCCCAGCCTGCCTTGACCTCTCCCGGCTCCCCTGATCCCTTGCCTGTGTTGTCCCTCAACGGTGGGGCCCCGGAGCTGGCTGGGGACTGGGGTGGCGCTGTGGAAGCCCCACTGTCCCCAGACCCACTCCTGCTCTCACCCTCTGGCTCCCCCAGGGCAGCTCCACTCTCTCCTATCACAGAAGGACCCCCAGAAATGCCAGCAGCCTCTGGGCTTCCACCCCACACCACTACTACACCAGTAGCCTCTACTAGAGGCCCACAGGACCACTTGCTGCCTCCGTTGGGCACCCCATTGCCCCCAGGCTGGGTGACAGTGGAGGGAGACTTTGTGCTGGTGTTGGCCCTGTCTCCCAGCCACCTGAGCGCCGATCTGTTGGCGGTTCCCCACGCGCGCTTTGACGACGGCGTGGTGCACCTACTGTGGGTTCGGGCCGGCATCTCGCGGGCCATGCTGCTGCGCTTATTCCTTGCCATGGATCGCGGGAGCCATTTCAACTTGGGCTGCCCGCAGGTCGGCTACGTTCCGGTCCGTGCATTCCGCCTGGAGCCACTCACGCCCCGCGGCATGCTCACAGTAGACGGGGAGCTGGTGGAGTACGGGCCGCTGCAGGGGGAGATACACCCGGGCCTTGGTACGCTGCTCACGGGACCTCCTGGGTATGCCGGGCAGGGACCTTGAGCCTGCGGGTAATGCGGCAGGGACAGGACTTGGCTACCTGGCGTGGCCTGGCTGCTAGAGTTGGGGCGGTCACCCCCTAGTGCGAGAGTCCAGCACCCACCACCAGAGAACTTGAAGTGATGCTGCAGGGTGGCCCGAGTTCCAGGCTCATACCCTCGGTAGTGCCTGACGGGAAAATCGAATTTGTTCTGCTGTTGCCGATGCGACCCTAAGCAGGTCCTGCCTCTACCTCGCAGCAGGTCGGGGAGGCAGAGGGCGGAGCCTGCCTCACACAACAAGCAATGACCAACGTGGAATGTACGTGCTTGAGGTGGGAGGAGCCTTAGCTAATTGGCCAGGCAGGACCGGGTCTTACCCTATCCCCTCCGGAGCCTCCACCTATCTGGCCAATCAGCCTAAGAGGGGCGGGTCCCCACAGCCGTATCTCGGATTTGCACTAATATCCCTTCTCCCAAGAGAGTGGGGGTGGGGGAAGAGAATTCACTCTTGTGCGTCCTCCATCCCCAGTCCAAAAAGCAACTGAAAAGGTCTATGCAATAAAGGCAGTCACTTCATTCCTAGACCTTTGCCCCTTCCTCCATCTGACAGCCATCCCAGCAGCTTCTGGCTTTTTTTGGGGGGGGGGTTACCGGGGATGAACTCGGGTCCTTGCAGGGGGTGAAACCACTGAGCTAAATACCTGGCCCAGCTTCTGGCTTTTGCTGACGGCCAATAGGTCTACCCACCAGCTGCAGCCAGTATGACCTCGCCTCGCACCGGAGCCAGTGGCTGCCTTGTCCCCCACGACAGCTGGCTCGGGTTCTCAAGATTTATTCAGGATCGTGTTAATGGAGGCAGTGGAAGGATGGGGTCCCCCACGTGTCTGAGCACACACGGGACCCTCCCCACCCCCGCATGGGAGGGGGGAGGCTCGCTTTTTCTTAAAAATATAAATGTATTTATCTGCATCATCATGTCCCTGGGACACCAAGCTGGCCAGCCTGTGGGCCACAAGGCGGGGAAGGGAAGAGGCGTCAGGGCGCAAGTCTGAGTGAGGAAAAAGGGGGGCGCTCACAGGGCCCCATGCTGTGCCTGGTAGCGAGACAACACTGCCCGGTAGTGAGACAGCTCCTGCCGCACCGCCACCACCTCCTGCCGCAGCAGGGCATTCTCCTTCTCCAGGAAGGCCGCCCGCACCGTTATCTGGTTCTCCTTGAGCCGCCGGGCATCACGAGACCGTTTGGCTGCTTCGTTGTTCTTGTACCGCCGGCTCCAATACTTCTCGTCCTGGGGGCAGAGGGGCAGGAGGGCACTGAGGTTCAGCGAGAGGAAGGAGGCAGCAGCTTCTAAGACACCCCCCACACACCGTTCTTGCTTAGCAGGGGGTGGGGGGTGGGAGGATGTCAAGGACACTGGATCTCTCCTGGGATGGGTACCGAAGGGCCTGCCCGTCTGGGGCTCCTAACAAAGCTAAGGCATGAGATAGACTCCCACCTCCAAGCAATGCAGTGCCAAATCTCCAAAGTACAAAGCAGACCCCAGCCCTCCCCACTAAACAAAAGGCCCTGCAGTTAGTCCTTGCTTGCTAAGGAAACACGTTCCCTAGCAACTGAGCCTTCCGGTCTGAGAGCTCATCCCAGTAAAGAGCACTGCCCTATACGTCACCTTTCCAGATCCCGGTTGCTAAGGAAAGCTTAGGCCCCCTAGTGATGGCGTTTGGTGTCTCATAAAATCCTTCCAGAGCTGGGCCTCGGCTGACCTGGTTGCCAAGGCAACCTCATCCCTCCTCAGCAAACAAAAGTGAGATCTAAGTGGTCCCAATGATCCTGGGCAGCCTCTGATCTGCTGGCCCTGAAGGGAGCTGCCTCTTCCCCGACAGGACCTGGTTGATAGAAGAGTCCATCCTTAGCAGAGGGACCCATCCAGAGATCTCCCCAGAGGGTTATACCTAGGATCCTCCAATCCCTAGTATTTCTTTGTTAATGAAAGACTCCTTGGTAACAAGGTAAATAAGAAGGTGGCCCCAGCTGCTACTGGGAGTCTCAGGCAACTCCCCAGTGAGAAGTCCAGGCCCTGGGAACAAACCTGCAAACCCTGGCAAACTATGCATCCTAGGGAGAAGCAGTCAGTCTGACAGGCACCCAAATTTGAGGTCAAAGGTTCAGCCCCAGCCTGGTTGGCTGATAGGCTGTCCCTGGCAACTGGGCCTCCTGAAATTTGAACCCTGCTCTGCTGAGGACGATGCGTCCATGTGATCAAGAAGGCCTAGCATGGCTGGCTGAATTCTATACCCAACAGTAAAGCTCTTTGTAAATATCAGGCCAAAGCCCCTTCCCGCAGGTGCCCCTTGGCCAAGGACTCATCTTTGACTGCAGCCCAGGAGACCCTAAGAGCTCATGCCAAGTGAGAAGTCCAGGGCCTCCCTGGCACTGGGTGTGACCTGGCTGTACCTGTGCTGCATGCAGTGGTGCTCACCTTCTGCTCCTCTGGCACCTGGATTTTCCTTGCCTTCTTCATGATTGGCTGGGGCTTAAGTTCCTCCTCTGAGAAGCGATGTCTCCGAGGGTCAAAGGTCTCATGTCCTGGAATGCTTGACAGGGCAAGATCAGCTGGGTCGGGTTCAAAGGTCATCAGCACCTCCACTGTATCTGGGTCCACAGGACTGGGTGTGTCCCGAGAGGTCAGGCCTTGGGGAAACACAGTGTGTCACACGAAGTGTAGCTGTTGGGCAGCAGGTCTGCAGAGGTTACCTCTGCTCGGGTACATTATCGAGCACACAGAAGGCCCATGTGGAGTCTAACATAGAGCCAGCCCACCAGGCATCAACCTCTGTAACGTAAAATATAAAGTTTGCAGGCTGAGGATTTAGCTCAGTGGTGCCACGCCTGCCTCTCAAGCGCAAGGTCCTTAGTTCAATCCCTGGTATAAGAAAAAAAATTATATATATATATATACATGGTTTTATATACATGTGGGGTGTATATATATGAATATATGAATATATATGAATATATAGTTTCCCCAGGCTACAAGGATGTGTAGACATCACGAGCCAATTCTAGGCAGGGAAACTGACATCTGGCCCTGAGTAACATGGGAGTCATGTAATAGCTTCTAAAACTTCAAGACTAGACAGGCGAGGTGGCACATGCTTGTAATCCAGCACTCAGCAGGCTGAGGCAGGAAGATTGCAATTTGAGACCAACTAGGGCTACAGAGCAAGTTTCAGGCTGGCCTGGATTTGGGGAGATGCTATCTCAAAAATCCCAGGGCTTGGGAGTCTGCGGCAGGAGGAGTGAAATGTGGATGCCAGTGTGGGACACATAAGGACACCCTGTCTCAAAAATAAATAAAACTTCAGGCCTTCAGATTCACAGTGGTCTTTCTCTTCCCACAGTCTAACGTGAATCCTATTTCCTGAATCCCTGACAAAGCTTAGACCCCAGGCTGTTCAAAGAGGACTGAAAATTAGATGATTCTAAGAGCTATTCACTTGGAAGGGTTAGGGTAGAGAAATGGAAACGGCTCAGAGCCCCAGAAAGTTGGTTCGAGGAAGCGTCTACGCCTTTAAACGCGAGAAAGCCGGGGCCAGCTGAGGACACAGATCCGGGCCGAGTCACGTGCCACCGCCTGCTTCCCTCTGCCCCTCCCCCGCCTCACGTTCCCAGCCCCGCCCCCTCGCGCGTGACAGCGCGAAGCGCGGAGAAGGGAGGAAGGACTCACGTGGCGCGGAGTGTGCGGCTGGGAAACGGGAGGACTCTGGTTCTGCCTAGATGTCAGGCCCGGGGCAGGTGCACCCAACAATCCCAGGCCTGCGGTTCGCCCCTGGAGACCCCAGTGTCCCCGAATGGGGTCATCTTTCCTCCTGCTTGGGATCTAAATGCCAACCTCTGATTGCAAGGATCCGGGCCTCTGGGCCGAGACTCATCAGAGAACACCCACCCACCCCCTATTCTGGGATCCCCGGCCCCTCTCCCGAGAGCTGAGGGGGCTCAGGAGGATCCGGAACCCAGCAGGACTCTGGGCCCAGGCTGCGGCCCTCCTACTGGGGGCCCAGGAACCTAGTCGGCCAGTCGCTGTCCTGGCGAAACAGGAGTCTGTGCCCTGCCTTCTTGTACTTCAGAGGTGCTAGGAGTTAGGGACCCAGCCCAGTTCCACCGATTTTGGGCTCAGACTCTGGGCCCATCCACCTCCCAGTGAGTAACTTCACATTCTGGGATTCCTGTGCCGGCTCCAGAAGTGTCTGGACCCTCTGTCTCCACTTCCCACAGATAACTCCACAATCTCTTTGGGCACGAGTCCTGGAATTCGGAGTCCAGAGTCTCTACCTCCGTGAGGATTCAGGAGACTCGGTCTCTAACCCGCTAGAAAGCTCAGAATCCGGGCCTGTCTCCATGAGCAGAGTCAGGACTCGGGCCCACAGCCAGGGTCCCAAGGTCCCGGGGTCCCACGGTCTTGACCCGC